AGGAGCGGGGTTGAGTGACTCAAGATCTTCGGCCATCCAAGTGAGAAACGGTATCCAACGGGGGTGTACATCAATCTCCAGAGCGATTTCATGAGTAAGTCTTGGAGGCTCTGCGGACTCTGACTCGTGGCGGTCGGCTTTTTTCCTGGAAGGGCCCCCCAGAGGGTGGTCTGTAAGGTCATGCTTGCTATATGAGGATATGTCCTGCTCTAATAGGTTCAAACATACGTTAACATTGGCCGTCTTTTTCCAGAATTCGAAGTCGGTGCGGTGCCGATGACGGATGCACGCTGCCACTGCGTGCTTTAGAGACTCTTTCTTTGAATCGTCAGGTTCATCTTCCAGATGAGAGGCAATTCCATAGCATCGAGTCAACCATTCTTGCAACGTGAGCCACTCGTCTTCTTGATTGATCTGCGGGTGTGGTGTTTGCTCCGCGAGCAGTGTAGACTTCAAAGACTGTCTCCGTACACCGAGGAGTATATCCTCTGCCCCAGGTTGGATGAGTCGTATGGGAGTCGATGATGACGTGGAAGCTGTTGAGCGCTCGACTCGCAGTCCTATCGAGTTCAACCTGAACCTCAGACTCTTTTGTTGCTGGTCCTTGATGTACGTCTCAATCTCGGTAATAGTGTCGGTCTAGACTCGCTGTCAGCATAGCCACTTTTACGCATGATCCTCAAGCTAGCGTACGATCAGAGTGCGCAATGTTCTTCGTTCCTTCATCGCAGCGATCTGCGTGGGTCTGGACTTGGGCGGAGGTTTAGGAGCCATTGCGGCTTTGCTCGGTGGATTGTACGGGTATTGGTGTACTTGTCGAGAAGCTGGTACCGAAAGTAAAGCAGGTGGGGGCCGTGCTCCGCAAACGAGTGTACCAATGGGTGTCAGTAAATTGTTAGTTTTGCATATCCGACGAAATAAAGACAGACATGGGGCCAGTGCGACCGTGCACGGGGTACCGAGGGAGATGAAAGCTCGTAATTAAATGGTGTTGCGCCGCGGTTGAAAACGAATACGCCAGTATTTCATTGTGTGGTTGTTTGGGTATCGAAAACGTGGTAGCGCAAACGAGGCGGGACTGAGTGCCCAAACCTCAGTGTCGTCCAGTTTGCTGCTTCTTGGTTGATAGCAAGCGGCCTCGAGATTCCTGAGGAAATACCATTAATTTCCTCTTCAGTCTTCAGGCTCGGTCTCGCTATCAGGCGCAGGAGAAAGCGACGAACCCGAGCCAAAAGAGAGCAGTGCGGATTCCTTCACTCTTGTCGACTGCGGAGTTTTACCATGAGCCATCTCCAATACCTCAAGCAATCCCAACAGCCTGTCCGAGCTTTCCTGTAGCAGCTTCTTCGCTTGCTCTTCTTCCTCAGCGTTGCCTCTCTTGCCTTTACCAGTGCCATATACACTACGTCGCGCTTGAATACCAGCCTCCATAGCTTTGCGAAGAGCTTGATTAGGAGCAAGAGCATTGTTCTTCATCATGTGCATGAACAACTGTTCCAGTATGAGTGAAATCTTGGTGTTTGCTGCAAAGCTTTGCGTTGTTCCTTTCAGTGGAAGAAGAGTCTTTTCGAAATCCTGTTGAATAGGGTCTCGGAGAAAGAAGCTCGGTGGCTTGCTGGCTATCATACCATGTAGAAGGTTCGCGGTGAAGGCGACTCGAATGTCGTCGGGTAGCTTCATCGTAGACAAAAGCACCTGAAAGGTCATGGTCGGGACCTGACTGAACTCTTCCAAGATGTTGTCGCAGAGGTCATATATCCGGGTGAAGAGTTCCGGTAGCTCTACGGCCACTTCGGCGAGCTGTTTGTTGTTAGTTGTCGTCGACTCCGACCAAAAAGGTACCTACGAGTGCTATGAGACGCTGCCGCAGCTCGATCGCGTCCTGTCCGCCAAGGCGCTCTATCGCGTCGTGCACGTTCCTAATCCCTCTATCGCTGGTTTCCGAAGATGTGTCGTCGCCACTCTCATCCCCGCCGTCGTCCGATGCGTCCTGCATATCTTCGTCGCTACCATAATCCGCCAACTCCCCAGTCTCGAAGTCAACCTCACCCACTGGCTGGTCTTCATTTCTTTTACGTCTCGGCTCTGCTGTCTCCCTCTCCCAAACTTCGGGGTAGTCTTTGAGCGAGTCGAGTGTCGCTGTTGCAAGTACAGCTCTGATGATGCGGCGCCTCTTTGCGCGATTCATGGCTGTCTCGTCGCCGGCTATGTAGTACCAGAGGAGACTCTGCTGGAGGGTTGTCTCGTCGCTCGCTCCCTCTTGGTTGCTTTGCTTGACGCAGACATCCCAATCGGCTTCGAGGAAGTCGAGCATGACCCTCAGCCACAGTTTCCACCGACTCCACCGTTTCTTGTGCTTTATCGCGCAATTGAACGCCCATCCCACAGCATGCCAGAAGTCGTCTGCGCGATACCACAGGCTCTTCTCGTTGGCAGCCTCGCTCGCTATTCGCTTGATGTCGCTACTCAGTTGGGGTGATAGACTAGCACTAGCCCTGTAGCTGGGCGCGCTCCTCCTGTTGCGTTCTCTTGGGAACATGAAGGCTTTCCTTATCGTTGGGTATGCGGGGTCGTCTATCGTTGTGTTGACGCATTGCAGGTATCGCAGCGCAGCATTGGAGCCTCGGGCGGCGTCTCGCGATTGCGCTTTGGTGGTGAATCTGGGGTCGGCGACCATGGAAGAGGCGAAGGCGATGTATGCCGGCGGTGCGAGAAAGCCTATGTATGGCTGCGCGGGTCTCGATATGCTTGTGCCCGCGGCGAGGAGGCTGTAGAGGAAGTCATAGCCGCTGGCATCTGGAGTCAGTGTAAGCGTGATGATTCATGGCTGGTGGTGTCGCATACATTGGCCGCCCTCGAGGTAGGCTTTGGCATGGTTGGTGAGCTCGTAAGACGCTTGCTTGGTAGGCCGGCGTTGCTTGTGCCGTGGTCGCGCGCTCACAGCTTCGAGTGCAGCGGATCGCGCATGTCCATTGGTAGGTGCGGAAGAGTTCGACGTTTTGGAGCCAGAAGCTGGTGTTGCGAGTTTCGCCATAACGCGATAGTTGTGCTGAGGTGCTAGTGTGGGGGAGTTGCTGCAAGGCCAGACGCGCCCGCGCCGAAGCGCGCTTTCACGTGGCAGGCGATGGCATCACTACATGGCCTCAGCGTCTGTCTCAAGCTGCCTTACAACAGATGTGAACATACAAAAAAAGAGCTGGAAGTTACTCTCACATTAAAGGCAGTATGGCATTCAATTATCTTGAGTTTTGAGCTGCGGGCAAAAAGAAGAATTGGCGAAAAAGAACGTTTTTTTCCGGTACCGTCAGTGTCCGTCTCAAGATGCGTAGACTCAAGCCTTATGACAGATATGAACAAACAAAAAAGCTGCAGGTCACTTACATCAATGTAGCATCTGACTAGATTAAGTTTTGAGACGCGGGCAAAAAGATGATGTTGTAAAAAAGATAATAGATGCAAAAAAGATCATTTTTTTCCGGTACCGGGAATCGAACCCGGCTCTCGTCGGAAGCTGACACAATTGACTCATGAAAGCGACGGATGCTAGCCGATACACCATACCGGACTTTGATGGAATGTCGGGCAAAACCATCGTTTATATCGTAGCAAAAGTTTGCACAGTGATCACAAGGCACCAACGCCAACGGGGCTATGTGCCCACTCACAGACAGGTCCAGGACATGCGCTAGATGCACTAGCAAGCTCAGGGTCTAGTATCCTAGAGATAGGTCTACAGACACTGTCGCAGGCTGCCATACAGCCAGTCATCATGCAGCAAGAGACATTAGAATCAAACAGTCCTTCAAGTGGAGTTCCGACAATGGCACATAACACGAGCAATATATTGCGCAGCTTTCTTTCAGCCGACTTGAAACGAAGATCATTGAAGCGGCGTTCGCCGGAGGCTCGGTGCTTGCAGGTTTCGTCGGAGTGCTCGGCAAACTTCAGTGTTCCGCCCGCATTTGAGAATCATCACCACTTGCCCTCGACCCAGAGTAACACACCTTTTTGCCATTGATCGACATCTTTCGTATCGCATTGCATGTTCGAAGGTGGAGGTGTATATTGGATTAGGGAACATGCACTTACCTTACGTCCTTCATTACACCTGCTCTATTTAGTTCGTAAGAAGTTGAGCGAGCAGTGCCTCTAAGGTGGTGCCGCCATGACTTACTTCGAAGAAAGCGCATTAGCCAATCTTACGAGGCCGGACGCGACACTCTTACGAGTTTCGCGACTTAGCATGTCGTTCGAAGCGACTGCGGAAGGATCATGAGAGAGCAGGTGGGCTGTCCAACAAGAATGGGGCGCGCGCCTGCTGGATTCTGTGCCCGCCCAAGTAAGGGAAGTCGCGTTCTGCTCCAACAGGATACGCCCCCAACGCGCCTGCTTGCTAGGAGGATGGCGGCACATCAACAGCCTAACAGTAAGTGTAGTTGTGCTTAAGCTTTGTTCTTTACATCTTTATTCTATAGTCTATAAGTAAGTCTTAATTTAAGCGCTAAGGTATATTAACTGCTAGCGACTGTAAGAGACAGGCTACACTGTCTTTTAGTAGACAAGGTGTACAGCTAGCAGAAGATCTACAGCCAAAAAGGTAAGATGCGCTTTCCTATGATCGTTACTAATAACCGCTAACTATTAGTAGGAAGCGGGCACCGAAAGCTAAGGACACGAGGCCGACGAAGCAAGCAGCCTTCGCCTGGGGTCGAGCATCTAAGATTCTGCTACTTCAGGATGCAGGCGTCGGCAAGCAGGCAGCTGCTAGTAAGAACACAACGGCCAATAAGGGAGCAGCCGCCACGAGCGACCCGAGCACGACTAGCGAGTCAGCGTTCGACTTGAGCTAAGAATCCAGAATCCCGTTGCCTAAGGGTATCACCGTTAGGAAGGAGGCAACAACTAGTTAGACACATGTCACCAACGAGGCAGCAGCCATTATTAACGACGCGAGCACGACTCAGCATTTAGACGTATGGGTAGACGATGATGACCGCGTTATGCTGGTGCAAGATGTAACCCGGACATATAACGTTAAGGACACTTGGGCTGGTGGAGAGCATGGCGCGATTTTGCTCGATGACGGCGACTATCTCGACACGAACGACATGACTCCAGATGAAATAGCTGCATGGGCGACGCACATGGATACTGAGAACACCGCATGCATCAACGTTCCTTCGGAAGCCAGACTCGCTGCAGTGCGGGCAGAAGTGCTGCAAGCTCTAGCCATGATGACCTGCGGGGCGCGGGAGTTCCTAGAAGAGACTGAGTATGACCTGGAGTACGGACAGGATACCTTCAACATGCCCGGCTTATTCCAATCATTCAAGAAGGAAGAGGCGAGGCGAAGCGGCATGGTAGAATCCCATATCGTCTCACCGTCAGGATATGCGACGTCCCTGTTGCATCTGCAGCTGCACTACCCAACGTTCACGACAAAGCATCTCAACGACGGTCAGACGCTAGACGCAACCAACTGTTGCATCCGAATCCTCATCGAGAAGGGCTTCGTGGCGAGCAACACCTATTGGTTTGAAGCGTACTTCCGCCGTCTGAGCGCGGCGTCCGTACGTCACCTCGCGAATGTTGCCGACGGGTGGAAAGAGGAGGTGAAACAACTGCATGACGAATTTGCCTACAGATGTCAGTCGCTGTCGAAGAAGGTCCTACTAGTATTTGGCGCCTTTAACAGAAAGCGCTTCCATGAGCGACACAACGTGGAGAATATCACAGTTCGACTATCATGCGGCAGCACGACGCTCATGGGCATAGTGCGCAACAACGCCCAAAAGATTCTGTTCGTCGTCGTGTACGCCTGGCATCCGGAATATCTACTAAGGAACCGAACCACGGCAGTCGGTCGACAGTATGACGCAGCTTTGAACATTGCTGCGGCATTGAGCGGCGTAGACACCAAAGCAGGGTACTTCGAAGCCCGAGCAGCGAGAACGCATGAGAAGAGCGGAAGAAGCCCAACCCAGAGCAAGTCGACAATCTCTCAGCCCCCTCCATCCCTAGCTCTCGTGACCGCCACAGAAAGAGAAAGAGAGAGGAAGAACAGAGCCAACGAAGCCGAGGCGCTCAAGAAAGAGCCCACTCAAAAGACACTGCGATATCGGAGAACTGAGAATCACACCAGAGACGTGCCCCTTCACATCTACAGACTGAGCGGCCTGGCGATTATCTTGACTGCAAGATTAGATGACGCCTTTCGGCAACGTGGATACAAACAGTGTTATTCTGTTTTCTGCACTCTAAAACAGTTGCCAGCTGTATACAACGGGTTATTACGAGTGCACCGAACGATGCCAGGAACGTGGAGTACCTCCTGAGTACCGCCTTGGTACCCCGGCATTACAGTGTTGAACCCTTGTCGACGGCACCTCGAGGAGAAATATGATGCTAGTATATACATACTTAGCTACCGATCATCTCAGACGTTGGCCTATACACCTCACATAAGTCTCAAGTTCACCTTAGGACAATGTCTTGTTCATAACGAAAGACACATGTCTCACCCTAGACAACATAGCGGACAGAGCATACATCTTCATCTCTATAAGAGGGCAATCAGAATGTCAAGATTGAAGCAAGCATCAGCCAAACCGCCCAGTACCCAAGACAAGAGAAACCTCGCCATAAAGTCCCAGCATCCCAATACCCGCAGCAATGTCTCAACCAATCACACTCCCTATTAGATCACGGCCTACCCGAGCACCTGCGCCGATGTCTACACCACTCACACTGCCTATCAGACCAAAAACCACATCAAAAGCCGTCCCACCATTAACCCTCTCCACCCTCCGCCAACACTTCCCCTCCCTCCCACCATGGGCCGTCTCCGCCTTCTCCGAGATCTACAACGCAGTCCACATCTTCAAGAACCCCCAACTCGCCGCAATAATCCCGCAACGCCAACTCTCGCCCGAATCCCGCGCGTTGCTCAACATCGCCATCCTGCCTATGTCAGGCTACAAATACGGCAACAACAAAGGGCCGATGCTGGACTGTAGTGTCAGTATACGGGAATTGTTTGAGGATGAAAAGAGCTATGAATGTGGGAAGGAACAGGTTGTTTTGGTGAGGTTGGGGAGGGAGTGTGAGAAGTTGTGGATGGGGAGGTGGGATGAGGATGAGGATGGGATTGAAGGTTGGACGGGGGATGTTGTCTTGAATCGATAGTTTGGGTTGGCGTATCGGCTAGCATCCGTCGCTTTCATGATTGACGCTGTCTTGCATTTGTTCGACATGGTCGTGCGGTAGATGGTGATGCACGAAACGACGTGCACATGTATTGCTTGCCGCTGCTTCACTGTCGAGTGCACGTTCTTTCGAGGTCGCGCGAAAGTCACTGCGATACCAGCAAAGTCAAGTCATACTGTGGTCGTTCGTAGAGGTAATCGCCAAATTCAGATCTTTCAGAGTATTCAAGCTCAATCTAATAAGATGAACGTGAACAAGTGCCTGATTACTCACGCGACGAGCAGTGTTGGCAGGAGCTACCCCTCATGCATCCCTGTCGCTTCCCGTAGCCGCTCCCTTTCCGGACAAGCCTGGGCGCAATGACTCCACGTCCACGAACACTTGGTACTGAGCTCTCCAGGTAGTAACTAACTCACCGTGAGATAATCTGAGGTCACAACCAAGTCAGTCCCCAAGATACAACTGCCGCAATGGCCACGTCACAGCAAAGCCTGGACCACCTAATCCTCTTCGTCCCCGCCAACCCAACAACGCAACTGCCCGAAGTCCCTCCATTCTTCTCGGACAACTTCGCACTTACCCCAGGAGGCTTCCACGCTGACGGCGCGACATCAAACGTCTTGATTCTTCTCGCAGATGGGTGCTACATCGAACTCATCTCCTTCGTCAACCCTTCCCTCGCGCCTGAGCATTGGTGGGGCCCCGACGCCGACTTCGTAGGCTGGAAGGACTGGTGTCTGACCAACTCGCTTTCGCCCGAGAAGAACTACGAGGCGGTGATAGAAAGTCACTCAAAGCCGATCAAGGGTGGGAGAAAGAGGGCTGATGGAGTCGATGTAGCCTGGGCTGTCACCTTCCCCAAGGGAGAGAAAGGTGGACAGAGTGTTAGGGGCAGGGTGCCATTCTTCTGTCACGATATTACTCCTCGGGGTGTCCGCGTTCCAATCGACGATCCGAAGACGACTCATCCATGCGGCGCGATTGGGGTCAGCCGACTTACTATCATCGTGCGCGACCAGGCCCTGCTAGATGAGACTAGAAAAACCTACGACGCCGTCATCGGTAGTGCTGGAGAGAAAGTTGATGGAGGATTTGAATTCAAGCTCAGGCGCGTGCATGAAGTGGAGACTCGTGACACCGGTGCGAAGATTATACTGCGCTTGCCAAAGAACGAGGAGGAGCAGGAACGCGTTAAAGATAGGGGATTCTGGTATGGCGACGTAGTCCTAATAACAGACGCGAAGGCCAGAAAGTTTGAAGGCTCCGCGGAGAGGCTGGATAGTGGAGAAAGAGGTGGCGGGGTTGGCGGGGTGTGGCTCGAGCATGCCTGAGCGGACGGCGGTGGATATAAGAGTGGATTATCAAGGGACCAGTGGGACCGAGATTGAGGCTGAACTATAATCAGTCGTGTTTCGTATTTCTTGCTTGCGAAAGTACATGTGCCGGGTGGCCTTCGGAACACGACCCTTGGTCTGGGTGGCGACCTGTGCTATAGCAAGGGATGCACCTGCAGGCCGGCGAAATGAAACCATGCTTGCACACACCCGTGGTACTACTGTGCTGCGTTGGCACAAAGCGCAGATCAAAGTGGTTATATCGCGCAGAAGCGCCATGGGCTTGTTCCTAGCCATGCAAGACTATATTCGCATTCGCAGTCGGGAGGATTTATGGATGTGTAAAGCTAAAGGTTGCATGTGCCTTAGCGGCGCTAGGCCGCAGCCGGGCAACCGAGGGACAACCCAAATTTGGCAGCTGCGATGATTGGCGGGTGCTGTCCGGTGGTTTGAGATGACTTGATCCACAAAAGATCGGGTTATATCCTTAGGTGGGAGTATGGTGATGCGCGTGTTTGTTCAAGACGTGGCTCACTAACAAGGTGCAGTCTAGGAGATACACCATATGCTGCCCGGTCACGATAAGGTTATACAGCATAGTGCATGACTCGGGTTATTTGTGCGATGGCACTGCAGAGGTACATAGAAGGACGACGAGGACGACAGGACGGCGATCTGGAGGCGTTGATACGGCAAAAGAAAACACGCCAGCGCCCCAATCTTGGGTTCCTCGCTTACAAGCAGCGAGATGTCTAGAGCGAGAGCAGTAATTCTTCTCGGCGGAACTCGAATCGAAATTTTGAGGATGGCGGGGCTAGCTCGGACCACTGATAGCGGGCACGTGTCCCAAGGTTTGCTTTTGTGCTAAGGTGACAAAGTGAAGTGCCGGCAGGATCGCATTCGAGGCAAATTCCATGTCGACCTGTCTGGTCGCGCATGGGAAATTGCTGTGATGCAGTGTGCGAGTGGCCAGCGACGGCGGGATGCCGCTGAACGGCGGAGGGGACGACCGGCAGAGGGGCCCGAGGGCTAGCGCCTGCGGATCTGGAGTCAACGTCGACGCCGTCTACTTCTCTGCCCGCGCCCGTGGTCGAGGAAGTCACTATATGGGGCGCGGCGGAACCTTCGTCTCGACACTCGCCCCGTGGCGCGCCCCTGCAATGGCGGCGCACGCAGCAGAACCAGGGCAAATGCGCGGGCACGATGAGTATTGGCCATGCGGACTTGTGCACCGAAGCCAATCACTACGAGGTCGCTCCCGCCAAGGCGCAGCGTTCATCCCCAATCTTTGATTCCCATGACGCAGGCGGTTATTTTCATAAACACGATGCGAGATGCGCTGAGATGACTCTTGTTCCCTTACCACGCAGCGTGAGTTTTCGCGAGCGGCCCGATGCAAGACGACAGGCGACCTGGACCCCCTCCGGCTGGTCACCCCTCGGCCGGTCCCTACGGGTCGCAGTTCAAGGTCGCCATTCCACGCTTACCACCCCGACGCGCCCCGCCACCCACCACGCCCAAGTCGCGCCAGAGGGACAGAGTCCAGCGGGCATGTCGCAACTGTCACAAGCGGAGTGCGTTGCCATTGTCTTTTCCAACATCATTCACTTTCTCTCGACCTCTAACACACGCTAGAGATCAAGTGTAGCGGCGGCCTCCCCCGCTGCAACTACTGCGACAAGACCGACAAGACATGTGTATACGAGCGCCCCAGGAAAGACCGGCTGGCGACGTCAGTTGAACGACCTGATTCCAAGTTCTGAAATTGACTCCGCCAGTGCCAAAGACCGCAACCACGCCCTCGTCTCCGTCCTCAAAGACCTCAGCTTGCGCGTCAGCGACGATGACCGACGTCGAATTGAAGATGCCCTCCAGGATGTGAGTACAGGACCTGCCAGCCCGGATACCACTGCTCAAACTAATACCGCCAAGTCAGATGACGAGGTCGGGTCGCCCGTCTCCATATCCTCTTCTTCGCGAGCATCCGCCCCTCAACCATTCTCTCAGCACTCGCGCATGCACCCCTTTGCCCCGTCCTCTAGCTATGTGCCGCTCGGAGCAGAAACCTCGCCTACGTCGGATCAGTCGCCCCTTCCTCGTATGGACGGAATAGTCCCGGAAGACTCTGGCGACGAAGACGGTGGCGAACTGCCCAATGTAGTCGAAGCAGGCTTCTTGGGCCAGATCTCCGAAGTACAGTGGCTACAGACGCTCAGGAGCAGAGTACAAGCTCTCGATACCGTTCTGCTTGGCCCACCTGACACCAATGCGCCACTCTCTCAGCCACCCTCGCCTACTTTCACTGCGTCACCCACCTCCCTTGCCGCGACCCCGCTCGAACACATCGCTCTCACCAACTACTATCTCGATGACGAAGGCATCAAGCTCACAGACTGTGGGAATCCCTTTGAGTTGCCACCAGAACATACTGCAGTACTGCTATTCCAGTGCTTCACCCAGACCATCCAAGGCTCCTTTCCCATCCTCCCCCCAACTATAGAGCACCAACTGCAACAGTACTACACCTTGGTTCGGAACGGGCAGGCGATACATTGCCCGGAGAAATGGTTTGCGCTGGTAAACCTTGTTTTTGCAATAGGCGCCAAGTTTTCACATCTCATTCAGGCTGAGTGGCGAGCCGACGAGCTGGACCACATCGTCTACTTATCGCGTGCCTTTCAATTGCTTAGTATGAATGACACAATCGTTGTCCTAACGACTCCGGATCTGCTCACAACGCAGGCAAGTCTGAGCCGCTGATTCTGTTTGACTATGCTAAACGTTTTAGGCTGCTGGACTGTTTGCGATTTACTACATGACTGCTGGCCATGTGAATCGGTACGTATGCGGAACATCTTTGCTCGTGACTAGCTAGTCTATCCTCTCTTCGTCCCTGGCTTCCCATCGATGTGCTTGCATGCTAATCCTATGTCAGGGCTTGGGTAATGGTAGGCATGGCGATGCGATCGGCCTTCTCGCTCGGCCTTCACGTGCAACAAGATGATCAATCTGTCTCGGCCGCCCGAAGGCAGAGCATGGTCTGCACCTGGTGGAGTCTACATGCACTCGAGAGCATGCTGAGTTCGATTACGGGCCGGCCCAGCATTATACCCAACGAAGACATCACAACTCCACTGCCCAGTGCCGTGAATAGCGATCAGACCCAAAGCGTACCTGTGTCCAATCTCGACTTTCTCGATGCGGATATCCACCTGAACCTCCTGACCCAGCAAATCATCTCCAATCTCTACACACAACGTAGATCAGCGCCATCATGGGACTACCTCCAACAAATGACCATATCTCTATGCGAACACCTTGACAAGTGGGCATTTGAATACATTCCCCAAGTCCATTCAGAAGATAGGAACTCAGCTCGCATGCAACAACGCGACGTCTTCTTGCTCAAACTTCAGTACTACAGACTGAAGGTTCTGACGACTCGTCCCTCACTCCGCCGTATTGAACGCTGTTTCCAAGCCGGAACCGATGACTTCAATTCGCTCGATCAGTCTGTGGCAGAGTCGTGCGTACAAGCAGCACGGGATGTCGCATCGCTGTTGGCAAACGAGCCTAATGTCAGGAGTCTATATGAAAAAGGGCCCTGGTGGACAATTGTCCACAACAGTATGTTGACACACCAAA